AATGGGGGGGGGGCAGTGTCTCCATCACGATATATTTGGATATGACTAGTTATGTTCGGCTGTAATTGGTTCATGCGATAAATCCCGCCTCTTGCTCTTGGACGCGTTCGCAAATCAGTCTGAAAGAACAATGTAATGGCGTAAGTGGGAAGACTTTTAAGCAAAATAATTTAAAGTAAACAAACAACTCGCATAGACTACTTAGATATAACAATTTTGTTACGTCAAAATAAGATTTAAAATGGCATGAAAACATGATATGTGGGAGTTTTAGTGAGTAAATCAGCTTGATGAAATTTTAAGTAAATCTCCGTCTGTGACCAATATTTATCGAGCGATGACTGATGATCAGAAAAATTCAAATAGAATTAAAAGTTAACTATTAAAAGAATAGTTGAACATAAGTTCACAAATAAAATATATTGTTTAAATTGTTGCTGCCTTGAGTTATTTTGGGGGGGGGGAAAGTAAAATTCTTAAAAACACTAACTTGATGAGATTTATAGCCAACATGGCTTTTAAAAAAAGGATATTGACACTGTCAATGTAAAAATATAAAATAGAATTGTTTTTTTTCTTCTTCTTCTTCTTCTTTTTCTGATAGTGTAAGTAATGTTTATTAAACCAAGAAAATGTGACTGGGACATGAATTTACATTTGATTAAAAAAAAATGAAAAATAATAACAATTTTGAGGACTTTGCCTCCTCATTTCAGAACGCCACCTTTGTTTCAAATACTTTCACAAACATTTCAAAATAATAGTCTGGCCTGCTCACAGTTTAAAGAAAAAGAAAAAGAAAGAAAGAAAGAAAGAAAGAAAGAAAGAAAGAAAGAAAGAAAGAAAGAAAGAAAGACATAATTGTTCCTCAACATGTTTTTATTATTATTATTATTATAATTATTGAGATGATTACACAAACACACACATAAAATAATAATGTATGCGTGAGGTGATAAATGGCAGAAATGAAGTGTTAACTGAAATCATGCAGACCTGCATCTCCTTAATGTTGTCCACTGGGGCAGAGGACTGATGAGACCCTCTGGATCTGATGTTTGACTTCACTGACCGGTAACTCAAAGCCATGATCATTCCACTGACCTTTTAAGAAGTTTATAGGTTTGTAAATCTCATTTTAAAGCTAAACGACGATTTTCCACGCTGTCTTCTCGGCGTGCAGAAGGATTTTAGTGCTCCCAGGCAACACTTTACTTTCTCCACTATACATTGTTGTTGGCAGTTGCCATGGAGATGTCGACGTCAGGGGTAACGTTTTAGGGGTAAAATGAAAGTACCAGAGAACGAATGTCTCACTTCCCCCAAAACAATCCCATACAGCCTTTTTGCTATTTAAACGACTATGCACTGTTGTTAACAATGTTATGTTCAGGAATGTGGGGGGCGAATCATCTAAAGGCAGCAGATGTATATTACTCAAACGCAGGTCTTCAGATTTAGAGTTGAAATAAGTCCTGTTTTAGAAATGTACCATTAACTACTGATAGCTGTGTGGTTGCTGTGATTGTGAATGGTCTGCCCGAGTTCGCGTTCTACCCAGTGCTGCCAACTAATTTTCAGAGAAAGTTGCTAAAGGAAGGCCGATTTGTTGCTAAAAGCTGCTAAATGACGCTGTGATGTCATTGCGTAATCACGACGCAAAATGGTCACCTCAGCAAAAAATATATATTTTAAATATGTTCATTTAGATTTGTTTTTAAAATAATATGCATGATATAATATTAAAATATAAATAACTGTATTTTTAAGTACATTGAATTATTGAAAACGTACACATTTTTAAATGATTACAATTAAAACAATTTTAGTAGCTAGTAAACTCTACACATTCTCAACAATTATGCTTTAAGCAGCGTATTAGTAGTTAGTTAGTATGCTACACTCTAAGAAAAGTATGTAAAAATAAGGCACAATCTACTGTTAATATGAAAGAATTTTCCATAATGTTTTTTTTAACCTGTATTTTAAATTACGCATTGTGTTTTCAGGTTACAGGGTTACAAAGGATGATGGATAATGGATAATGTGCTGAAAGATTTTACATTTTTCTTACAGCATACATCGCAGGTACAAGCTACTAACAAAGTGTATCATTAATGAACAATTATTCAATTATCAAATTATTAAATTATTATTATTATTAAATTGAACAATTGCAAATAGCAGCTAACTCAATTCTCGTGATCTGTGTACTGCTAGGCATCTGTGGTTTCCTCTTTTTGTGTAATTTGGATGGACAATGTGTGCCTTTTTATTGTCTGAGTCCTTATCAAAAGTTGCTAAAAGTTGCCAAATAAATGTTTAAAATTGCTAAATTTGTTGCTAGGTGCTTTTGGAAGAAAACGTTGCTAGGGTAGTCTGAAAAGTTGTTTAGCAAACAAAATTGCTAAATTGGCAACACTGGTTCTACCCCAGTTTTTAATAATCCATAGAGGGCGCTATTCTAATTCCACTGTAGACTGTAATTCCTGAGCTCTTTCACGAGAGGGCCCAATTGTATCAGTTCTCACATCATTTCATGCACGTTACATTGTAACATTAGGTCAGCGAACAGATGGGTGAAAATATTGAAACATTGATGCAGTATATAACAATCTCTCTCTTTTTTTTTCTTTTTTTTTACTAATAATTAAAAGAAAAATCTGGTAATCGTGTGATTTTATTAAACGTAGTGAATATCCGAAATATAGCAGCGAATGTGTAGCCATAATTTATAAATGCATTTATGCTCTGTCTCAGAACTGAAATTAAAAAAAATTAATTGTTGTGACTGTTGAATTTGATTTGATTCAATCAATTGCGGTGAAGCACATTTGCAATAAAATATATTATTTAGTTGATCAGTATGTTGTAACCTAACCCATTTTGTTATGAAGTGACAAGTATTAACACAGAGATTCACGACTGCCAAGCTCACGATTTAAAAAATATATTCACCTTTTTAAAATGAAAATTACTTAGCAAAACGTATACATTGTTAAAAAATTTATATCTGTAAAAATGTTTATTACCCTTTTGTTTTTTAAATAAAGGTTCACTCACATGTAGGCTATTCAACCTGCACTAAAAGTATTTCATATTTTACTTGATATTGTTATTAAATCAAACACTGTAAATAAAAGAAGGTATAAACCTTTAAAAAAAAATTATGGGGAAAAAAGCACCCTAAAGTGCTTCTTGGCGTTTTGTAAAATTGGGCTACAGCTTCTGATACAGCTGAGGGGACCTGGGGGGTGGGGGGTAGTAGGGGATTCCTGGAGACCCCCTTCTTGAAGAAGACCTCCCCTCTCCCTCCCTTCATCCTTCTCCTCCTCTCTACCAGCTGAAACTCAGGAGCGCCGCCGATCGGTACCGACACCTCTCCAGCGAGCTAAAGCCAAGATGGAGGGTCCGTGCTCAGTGAGTACAGGAACGAGTCCCCGCACGCCACTCTCTGCTTTCAAATGAAGAGGATTTATTCCCGACCACTCACTTGATATCGGAGAATCGACACTGACCCGTTATTTTGGGGAGTTTTGTTGAGGGAGAATCATTGATCCGAGGATGAGTTCAGGGGAGGGAGAGGACACATCTAAGGAGGCGGCCGACATAGCGGCGTTTTTTAAATCCGGTAAGTGTCTCTAAGAAGAGAGGGGCGCGCGGTTCGGTGTTTTCGTGGAGATGAACCCGCTGATCCAGATCCCGGTTCATGTCAATGATGCGTGCCCGAACTGATCGGACCATAGATCCGAACATCTTGTTTTCCCCCCTCTGAAATGCTGATGATGGTTACTATGAATCAGACGTGATGTTATGGCCAGATCGAGTTGGCAGGTTAAGATGTATAGGTCAATCCCTTTGAATGCTTTTATATGAAATCATTTATTTGGAATATGACTTTGCATTTCAATGTGCGCGAGTATAGTCATGAAACAAGTCAGTACACAGTTCAGCAGCTGTTTTCTTAAAACCTGAAAAAAATCATACGTCATTGTTTATAAGCGTGATGTTTGAGTTCACAGTGAGGTGACGTCATAAAGCTTGACTGTGCTGCCATCTCAATGATGTCATACATCACCAGCCCCCTGCATTCATTCACCTTAATACACTATTAGGCCTACCCTACATTTCACCATCATGGGGTGAATTTTGAGCTCATTCTGCTTCTTTATGCACCACTTTGGCAATCTACTGGTTGGGTTGTTGCAGTCAGCTGTTGCTGTGATTTGTGTCAGCTGTCTCTGCAGTACCAGGTGCATCCAAGAAGGGACTCTGCAATGGGCCATGGACGCACGCCCTGAGTGACAGCAGGAGTGTCACATTAATATCACAATCTCGCTTTTCTCCATGCTTTAGCCTTTAGTGCTTGCTAGTGAAGTCGAGTTGCCATGTTCAGATACTATATATATATGTTAAACACTTTATATTCAATTGTTTAAATAGTCTATTGAAGGCATGTAGGCCTAATGGTGTTTCCCTGTCTGTGGCTCCCCATGGCCGTACATAGAATCACCTGTTTGAAAAAAGAATGGATTGTTTAAAGTTACATTAAATCGGATAACGAGTTTGAATAATACTTATTTGGGTCTCATTTGAAATGTGATCAGTTCTTCTTGTTTTATTGAACTTGATGGAAGCAAAGCAAAAGATAAGATTGATATACATTACAATACATTACAAATTCTGATTTAATGAATCATGTCAACATCAACTTTAATGATCAGTCTTTGTCCTGATCTTACAGTAAGTCATGTTACAACACAACCTCATGAGGAGTCAATGATTGTTTTTATTTCACCTCTAGAGCCTAATACATAGACAAAACAATAAATTAGTTCTTCTAGCTTCTAGGCTTGAATGTGGTTCAAACCAATATACCAATATTTATATGTGGATGGTTGTCCCTTTTGTGGCAGTTTGTCGATATTAACACATCACTGTCCTCTAATAAGTTGATGCACATGTTTACATTGCAGTGTTCGATTGAATTACTTTATTGTTCATGTAGTTAATGAAATCTGTTGTTTATTTTCTTTTACTTATAGTATGTAAATTGCTGATTTGCTCATGTTATATTATGATCTGAATGTCAAGAAACAAGGTATCATAAGTGTACGATTCATACTTCCCATTAGAGCAAAGTCTTTGTATCCAGGGGTCTATTTTAGAGCACTGCAGCATCCTAGGGCAGTGTTTCAGAATGAAGGCTTCTCTCTCTGACTCCTCCGGTCTCTGTTAATTGCCCCACGCCTGCTCAACACTCAAGTTTTGGCACCGCCAAGCTTTCTCTCTGGCTGTCTTTGCGTTAAACACATTTTGTGTTTCCAGAACATTGGATGTCTCATCAGTGCCCTACTTAGTCACTGAGCATTGAATGCAGTCTCTCTGGGGCAAGACGCCCACCTAAAGAGCTTTTGTTTGGTTTTGAGGACTGTAGCAGATCTTGCACACCAACCTTGGCCTGCATTCTAAACTACCTTTTGATGCTAACTAAAGAAAATGGCTCAGTGTTTGCTAGAACCAGCACAGAATAGTGATGGTGGTCGGTTCAGGCGGTTAGAGGCATCCTTAAAGGGATAGTTCACCCAAAAATAAAAATTACCGCATGATTTACTCAAGCAATCCTAGTATATGTCTTACTTCTTTCGGATGAATACAATTGGAGTTATATTAAAAAAATGTCCTGGCTCCCAAGCTTTATAATGACAGTGAATGGAAGTTGAGATTTTGAAGCCCAAAAAAGTGTGTCCATTCAACATAAAAAGTGAGTGAACAACGGCTCTGTGTAGTTAATGCTGCTCAATGTGAAAGCACGGACGTGATGGAGATTTACCGCTGATTACAGAACCGGCTTTCTGACAAGATGTGAATTAAATATCGCATGCGATTTATCGTGCAGCGCTAGTTGAGGACTTTAATTTTGACAGTGCGTTTACTGAACGCAGCGTATATATGATGTGTATACCTTATTGGGTTATGCTGCGTTCAAGTCCTCCTGGGACGTTCGTACTTGCGAGTTGACAAGACATCAGGTGCGTTCAAGTCAGTTTAGTTGGCACAAGATGGCGGTGTACCTTATTTTAATAAATTACAAGAAAATACAACAGGGTCTGTTAACTCTGCTTATAGAAAATAAAGAGCAAATAATTCGCATCGGTGTGTTTTGCGTTTTTAATATTTTTTAAAAAGTAATTTATGAAGCCATTTTAATCTGTATCGCATAAAAACTTCTTCAAAACTACAGCCGCTGCATCCATCGATTCCACCATGTTTCTCACTGACACGCCCCCAACTCAGAAACTCGGGGCTTAAAGAAAATTTCGAGTTTCCCACTCGTAATAACGACTTTGTGGTGCGTTTGTGGTGTGGTGCGTTCATGTGCGTTCAACTCGTAAATACGATCTATCCGACATGACTTGAACGCACCATTAGACGCTGAGAAAGCATGCTAAGCAAGGAACGCCAACCAAGGCACGGGTGCACGGTCGATTCATGGACTTTACGGTTCATAAGTTTAGCTCCTGGTTTAAGGGAGAACAAGGTAACAATCATCTTTGCTTGATCTCTTACGGTGGTTCATGGTACGTTGTTGTTGTTGTGTGATGGCTCTACGGAATGTGAACAATAAACAAACTGTGAATCATCAGTGAAAGAGTTGACCGTTTATTAACCAGGATGCTACATGCTGTCTGAAGCGGCTCAGCATATGTTTACAGCCAAACGTAGCTTATTTCTCTGCACCGTTTAGGCGGCCTAACCCCAGGTACGTGTCGCCGCATTCTCGGGTTTTGAAGAATAAAGAAGGGAAACGTTAATCTGGCCCCACTTTATATTAAGTGGCCTTAACTACTATGTACTTACATCAAAAATGATGTACAATGTACTTATTGTGTTTATATTGTATTGCAAAACACTTTTGCTGCTATTGAGGTGGGAAACGGGTAAGGTTAGGGACAGGTTTGTTGGTATGCGTTGGTTTTAGGGTGGGTTAAGGTGTAAGGGATGGGTCAACTGTAATTATAAATGTAATTACAGAAATTAATTACAGATGTAATTACATGCAGGTATTTTTAAAATATAAGTACAATGTAAAAACATGTATGTACACAATAAGTGCATTGTACCAAATTATTAATTTAAATGTAAGTGCATAGTTGTTAAGGCGACTTAATATAAAGTGGATCCGTTAATCTTCTGAAATGAAGCAGCAATATCTTCTCAGGTAAAAGTTATTAGAACCGTGTCTAGGGACAAGCGGGCCATCACACTGCTCTGACCTTATCAGCCATTCGTATCCTATTATTTGACTCGCTCTTGTCGCTTATGACAGAACAGCGAATCACGATGATCTTGTCTTCGGAAAATATTATTTTATTTGCTTATGTCAGAAACTAGGGCTGGACAATAATTCGATATCAATATGTATCGCGATATAATTTTTTTCAATAACGGTGATATGATTTTTAAACGCATTTCCGATATTTCGATATACATTACCAGTTTTAACACTCTAAAAGCGCCTCCTGCTGGCAGAGAATGAGTTTTCATTTTAAATAAGCCCCTGTAAATGGCGCATCATGCACGTGAGGTTATCTGACGGAGAGACGCAAAGCAGTTTAAAGCAGAGTCCTGCACGGGTGCAGAAACAGTGAATCTCTTTAAAAACTGGCTGTGGTTCTCACTACATTGCATTTGTTATATTTCGTAAAAGTTTTACCCGCCAACTGGCGACACGGTTACATATACTCACCAACGCCGATTTTTACTCGCATTTGGCGCTTGGGGGGGTGTTAATTTTAAGCCCTGTATGGCAGACTGCAATTCATAACACAGTACTCAGTTTTAAAAAATAAGAAACTGAGACAGTCCATTGGTAATTCAGAACAGTTTTATCCATCGATATTGCCGATAATGATTTTTGGTTGGAAATATGTTTTTAAATTAAGATTTACAACAAATTTCACCCTGTGTACAAATTCTCATGGATATTAGAGCCAGTTGAATCAATTTTCATCAGTGTGTGCAACTTGCAACTTGAGACGGTACATAAATAGCAAGTATTATGTTAGATTGTGAACCATGTTACATCCATCTTCTGTCTTGAAGACACAGCTCTTTATACATGACAGCACCACTTATTTACACACTTGTGGGATGATTGAGGTTGTCATGACATATTCAGCCCACTTCACAATGTGGTGGAACAGCTGAAGGCTGGATCACACAAAACCTGAGCCCTCCCTCAGAGTCTATCAGCAGCAAACCACTTCCATAGAAAATGTTCCCGTCTGAGCTGAGCTACTCTTTTCAACCCTTTGCTGGTCTGTCTCGTAATTGGTGCAGCCAAACCTCCTTTGAAGTCTGTTGAAATATAGAGCGAGAAATTGCGACTTCCAAACGGTTGATTCTCTATTGTGGTGGCATTGTGCCTTTTATGCAGAAAATCTCAAGGGGTTGTTGCACCAACTTTCCAAATTTGTATTCACTCAACAGTCTGTTTTTAAAATTAAGGAATTCAAATGAGGTGTGAAGAGCTGATGTGGCTTCATTCTGGAAAGGGAAGGACGCTATTAAGCTAATGGATGCCAAACCTTAAGATATTGTTTCACTTCCTCTGATACTGAAGTGACT